CCAAGAGTGTTGCAACTATTCTGGCAGAAGAGAAAGGCATTCTTGCAGGGTCTTTTTTCTTTTCACGGGACTATGCGGAGCGCAAGGAGATCAAGTGCCTTGCCACCACATTGGCTATGCAACTGGCAGATTATGATCCCATCTTTAGGACTGATCTCACCCGACTACTCGAGACTGATCGTACAGGGATTCTTGAGGCAGAACCATGTCTGCAGTTCCGGAAGCTGGTTGTTGACATTCTGGGGAAGCTGCCTCCAAGTTCAAAACCCTGGGTTATCTGTCTTGATGCACTGGATGAATGCGGGCAGGATCGTGGTCAGATATTTCTGCGGTTGCTATCAGATAGCATTGCTCAGATCCCAGCCCACATCCGATTCTTTCTCACAGGACGGCCAGATGTTCCTTCCTATCTCAAGTTTGATACTCTTCGTTCTTTAATGCATGGGATTGTCCTCAGTGATGTTGACACTGCCCAAGTCCATCAGGACATTCATCTGTATGTTGAGGAGTCACTCAATGGTGCCAAGTGGACTACACGGCATCCTTGGAAGATACAGGATCATGATGTGGAGGAAATAACCAATCACACAGGTGGTCTTTTTGTGTTTGCAGCAACTGCTGTTCGTTATGTTCTCGGAGGACTCCCAGATGTGCAACCACAGGAATCTGTTGACTACCTCCTAGGTGGTGAGCCTCTCACTGATCTACATGGTCTCTACCTCCGGATTGTGGATGAGGCACTCCCATTGCCTCCCCCAGGAGATCGCCGTGCTCAAAGGTCACATGTTCGGGCCATGAAGATTATCAGCACTATTTTACACCTCCTGGAACCACTGGATTCTCCAAGTCTGGCTGCCTTGCTTGAACTTGATAAAACAGCACTTCAGGGAGTGCTGCTCCCTCTGAGTGCTGTAATCCATGTCTCTGATACCCTTGGATCTACAATCAGAATAATACACCTATCATTCAGAGAGTTTATGATTTCCTATGTTCGTCCTGAAATCCGGTGTGGCACAGATGATCAGCAGCAGGCTCTGGCATCTGCCCTTGTCAGGGTGATGCACAAGGAACTTAAATTCAATATCTGTGACCTGCCAACATCCCACTTGCGAAATATTGACATGCCAGATTTCCAATCGCAAGTCAACACATATATCCCAGCACATCTCCAATATGCATGTCAATTCTGGGTAGAGCATCTTACAGTGACATCATATAACTCTGACACTGCAAAAGCAGCAGAAAAAGTGCTCTTTGGCAAATTTTTATTTTGGCTCGAGGTATTGAGTTTACTTGGAATAGTGAATCATGCATCCCAGACCCTCTCTGACATTATATTATGGGCGGATAACATATGTGTAATCATTGGCCCCAACATGTGACACAATTACTAACAACTATTAGGATTCTGCACTGGTCAAATTTGCAACAGATGCCAAACGATTTATTTCCTTCTTTCATGATCCAATTGCTGGAAGTGCTCCCCATATTTACATATCAGCACTGGCCTTTGCACCAGCAGAATCTGAGATCAGTCAAAGATTCTTGGATCAGTTCCCCCAGTTATTATTGATTTCAAAAGGACAGATGAAGAAATGGCCAGAGCTAATTGCTGTGCTGGAGGGCCATGACAGGGATGTTACTTCAGTTGCATTCTCACCTGATGGAAAGCAAATTGTTTCAGGCTCTGAAGACAACACTGTGCGCATTTGGGATACAGAGTCTGGAGCTGCAGTCAGGAAGCCACTGCAAGGGCACACTGGTTCAGTCTGGTCAGTTGCATTCTCACCTGATGGGAAGCGAATTGTTTCGGGCTCCGATGATCACACTGTGCGCATTTGGGATGCAGAGTCTGGAGCTGCAGTCATGGAGCCACTGCAAGGGCACACCGGTTCAGTCTACTCAGTTGCATTCTCCCCTGATGGCAAGCAAATTGTTTCAGGCTCTGATGATCACACTGTGCGCATTTGGGATGCAGAGTCTGGAGCTGCAGTCAAGGAGCCACTGCAAGGGCACACTGGTCCAGTCAGGTCAGTTGCATTCTCACCCAATGGCAAGCAAATTGTTTCAGGCTCTGATGATTGCACTGTCCGCATTTGGGATGCAGAGTCTGGAGCTGCAGTCAAGGAGCCACTGCAAGGGCACACTGATCCGGTCTGGTCAGTTGCATTCTCACCCAATGGCAAGCACATTGTGTCTGGATCCCAAGATTCCACAATTCGTGTATGGGATACTGACAGTTTTGTCAATGGTGCATGTCCGTTGGAAAGTTCCACAGCTGCAAGTGGATGGCATTTACTCAATGTGGGTCCTTCTTCTGTACACTGCTATTACTATCTAATTCATTATCTAGTCTCTTCATCTGAAGTCCCCTGCTGCCCCCCTGCATTGGCAAATTCGCGGTGGATGGGTCTCTTGTATCCCCTCAGAGCTCCTTTTTTGGGTTCCAGCATCCCATAGGATTGGTCTATGGTCTCCATACAACACACAAGTCATTGGTCGACAACAAACCAAACTCTCCTACAAACAATTTGTCTATGGTCCAGACTGGGCAAAGTGTTACTCCTCATCAGAGAGGATTTGATAAATTTTGGGAGGTCCAAAAACCCGGTGACAGCCACTCTTCCTCCATAGCATTTTGAGCGAGAAATGATGTAGCACCTTTACAAGCTCTTGAGCAATCTGTAAGACGCTCGCGCCGCGGAGAGCAAAATTAGCACAGAGAGAAGAAAAGATATGGGGTCGGGATGAGACCTGTTCCGTGCCAGCAGTGAAAAAAAAACCAATAATAACCTAACTGGCAGTCAAATTAGCGCTGAGAATCGCAGAGTAGTGATTAAATCGACGCCACGCAGCAAAAGAAGCACTTGGTCATGCGGGCTTTCCTCAATTGTCTTTTATTTATGTAAGATCCCGGGCAAAGTCTCATTCAAGTTAAAGTTCACCCTGAGAGAAATAAGACCCAGTGGCGGATGGTACCGCGCCTGCACCGTGTCCAATTCTCCACACCGATATGCAGCGGGAGATCCTGGTTCGACTCCAGGCTGAGTCATGAATAGCTTCCAACCCGGTTTTTCTTTTATACATATACATTGGCTCTCCCATTCTCGTTCGAATTCACATTCAAGGCAGAGTTCAACTCCACAGAAAAGAGACCCAGTAGCGGGCGGTACCGCGCCCGCGCCATGTAATGATGATGGAGTACACGCATGCGGAAAACACCTGGTTCGACTCCAGGCTGGGTCGTCCTTAGTGCCAACTTCGTTTTTTTTTCCTCTGGCGTGCTGCGCTGCCTCCAGAACTTCCCGGCCTTTCTGCACTGCACTCATATGTCATAACCGTCCGCACGCCGTCGCATCGGCGTTCAGTACGAGCGTCCACCCCCAATTAAAGAAACGACAACCAGCATCCCGCGCTATATACGTAGTCAGATGAGTACGCGCACGCTGGAGGTCCCGGTTCGACGACAGGCTATAACTCTAAATCTGAATCTGTCCGGAGGGAGGGAGGCAGGGAGGGTACACGGGCGAGCAGAGGCGAACTCATATCCGGATCGACAGCGCGCGATTGCGATTGCGATTGTGATTGGAATATCTATATCATATATATTCAAAAAAAGCGATAGATAATGTACAACCTAGACTCGCCTCGCTCAGTGAGATGCATGTGGAGAGAAAAACGAAGTACGCACCGAAATACGATAAAATCAAAGCTTCGTCGCCCACCCCTTCTTCACAACATCGTCGCCCTACCTGCCTGCCCGTACACTCACTATAGGTTCGTCGTCACAGCCTCGTCGCCCGTCCCGCGTTGAGGAACGCATGCGCGCCGGAGACGACGAGCCGCCCGCTCGCCTTGTCGCGCATCTGCTCGGCGCCGATCAGTCGTCAGTGTCTTTGTCTTTATAATTCAAAAAAGAGCAGACGTGGGCGCATGGCGGAGGGGGATGCGGGGAGGAGGGAGGACGGGAAGACCCGGAAGAGAACGGTAGAAGAGGGAAGAGAAGGCGGAGGGAGGCGGGGGGTAAAAAGGAAGAAATTGCAGAGCGCACCTCACAGCGCGCCAGCCGCGCGCGCCCGTCTGCGAACACGGAGCGAGTGGTGATGGTGAGGGTCGTGCCGCTGCGTGCGGAATGTCGTCCATTAATTAAGTGCGTATGAGGAGGCGTGCGGAGGGTACGCACAGCGGCGCGGGGTGGTGCCAGTGGACGTTCATGGACTGCGAGAGGCCCACCCCGTCGAAGCCCTTTGCAAGGCTGAGGAGGACGAGCACGGCGACGGTCGTGCTGCGTGCAATCGTCGAATGCGGGGTGGATGTAAGGGTTGGTAATGGAGGACGTACGCATCAAGCAGCGCAGCCGCCGTGCATCGTGACATACACATTGCACATGCCTACCAACGATGAGAGCAGTAATAAGATCAAAGAGATCGATTGAGACCCCGCGCACTTTCGGTGACCTCAACCTCCACGACCATCTCGCTCTCCGCCCCGCCGCTCTTCGAATCCGCGTCATCCCACACATTCAGCGCCACGGCCCTCAGCCTTCTCTCGACCTTGTTCGCAAACGGCGTCCGCACATGCGCAGGGGGACTCCCGCCCGTGAAGTGCGGAGGACGGCCGCGTTGACGGGTTTTTCTGCGTCGGGGATGTGATCTGGGAGGCGTCGGTGGAAAGGCGGGACGGGCAGGGAGCCGCGGAGGAAGGATTCACACGGGGAAGGCATGTGGCGGGGCAGAAGAGAGGCGAGAGGAGCATGGGCCAAGTGGGCTCGGGGAGCGGTCGGGGCTGACGCGAGTGTTGACCGCGACGATTACCCCCGGATCACAAAGCGGCTCGGCTATGACCGGACGGCAAGTTCCACGGGAATGGGCGTTTGGAAAGTTCGTTCTGGTGCGGAAATTTGCTGGCCCCGCCTGTGAGTGCAGTCTTCTCCTAGACCTCGGAGCCGCCATGCAAACGAAGGAGAAGACACGCAAAAAAAGCATCAACAGCTCCTCGCATGACCCAGCCTGGAATCGAACCAGGACCTCGCAGCCAAATCCAATGCACGAAAACCTGATCACGGCGCGTGCGGTACCGTCCGCTACTAAGTCTCATTTCAACAATATTGACCTCTGCCTTGAATTCGGATTCAGACCGAGCATACCATGGCAAAAGGAAGACACTCCGAGTATGACCCCGACTGGAATCAAACTAAGGGTTTCCGCTCAATGATGACACCTTCGCTGATGGGGCGCGGGCGCAGTACCGTCCGCAACTAGGGGTCTCGGTTCTATAAATCGGAACCCTGCTTCAGGGGTGCGATTTGGAGCTGCAATCCCAAGCAAAGGCACAGAGAGAAAAAATTGGCATCAATCACGTATGACCCAGTCTGGAGTCGAACCAGAGGCTCCCACAGCACCTTTGGGGATGCATCTAATTTATGCAGGCGCGGTACCGTTCGCCACTGAGTCTCATTTCGGTGAAGTTGAACCCTGCCTTGGAGGTGATTTTGAAGCACGCATCCGAGAACTAAGACAAAGAAAAGGATGTCGACTACTACGAAGTCACACGCATGACCCAGCCTGGAGTTGAACCAGGTGTTTCCCGCGAGCGCTTACTCAATTGCCACTGTACATGGCGCGGGCGCGGTACCGTCCGCTGCCGGGTCCCATTGATATCACGTCGAATGCTGCCTCGAACGAAAAGATTTTGAATAAGATCACAGGGGGGCCCGAAAGGAAGAAAAAAAGTGTGGACGTATACGGAATGACCCAGCCTGGAGCCGAACCAGGCGCTCCCAAAGCACTCTGTTGGCGTGGATCCAATTTATGCAGGTGCTGTACCATCCGCCACTGGGTCTTATTCCTGTGAGACTGAAGCCTACTTCAAATCAATCAATCGGGTTCGAGCGAGACGTACAGCTCAGGGGGAAATGGACGAGAGTCCTAGAGCCTGAAGTTCCGCAGCGAGTGTGCATCTCATACACGGAGCGGGACTGTCTAGTGGAAACCTTCCTCTTCGACCGGGGCAAAGTTGATTTCGGGACGGCGCGAAACCGTCCGCCACTGGGTCCCTTCCTCGAGTGCAGAACCTTGATTCGTGGAACACCGATCAATCTTGAGCGTACATACATACGGAGAGATGGTTGGATGAGGCACAAGTCCGTGAAATTCAGTGATTACAGAGTGGGGAAAAAACGAAGGAACTTGAAGAAAAAGGTCTTCATCAGAATCAAACACCAGGAGTCGAACCAGAACCACCTGCAGTACTTGTCGGAGGAGATTGAATTTATGCAGGCGTGCGGTACCGTGGTCTGGTTCCTGTAACTTCGATCCCAGCGTTGAACGTGAATTCGACGAGAATCTCGGAGCAAAGAAAAAGAAAAGGAGTACGACGAAGTCGCAAACATGACCCAGCCTGGAATTGAACCAGGACCATCCACAGCCCATTTTTTATTTATTTAAACGGCGCGGGTGCCGTACCGTCCGCCACTGGGTCTCCTTTCTATTACCTTGAACCCTGCCTTAAACATGAATTCAACGGGGATGTCGGAGCACAGAAAGATAAAAGGAAACCTGTTCGCTACCTACGGCCCAGCTTGGAGTCGAACCAGGAATGCTGCCTTGCATTTCTCTTGAACGGCGCGGGTGCGGTATCATCCGCCACTGGGTCTTGTTTCTGTCGAGGCAAACTCTGCATCGAACAAACGACTTTGCTTCAAACACGATTGTCGAAGGCAGCAAAAACAAAGAGGGAGACAAACACGGAATGATCCAGCCTGGAGTCGAACCAGGGGCTTCCACGTGTAATGAAGTGCCACCGGGCGCGGGCGCGGGACCTCCCGCTACTGGGTCTTATGTCTCTATCCTTGACCTCAGCCTTTGAGTACATGTAGATCTGAGAAGACACGAAAACGAAATTACAAACTCTATGGATGACCCAGCCTGAAGTCGCTCTCGCTATTATCTAGTAGTACGAGCTCCATTACATGGCGCGGGCCCGGGACCGTCCGCTACTTGGTCTCAATTCTATAATGTTGGACCCCACTTCGAGCTAAACGACTTTGAATACGATTGCGCACCAGATTGCAGAGGACAAGGGAAAAAAAGTGAAAGCAAAGGAATGACCCAGCCTGGAGTCGAACCAGGGTCTCCCGCAGCCAAATCCAATGGGCCCTGACACGGCGTGGGTGCGGTACCTTCCGCTACTGAGTCCCATTCCTGTAGCGCTGACGTCTGCTTCAGGTGCGATTATGAGCCGCGATGTTAAGCAAAAGGCACAGGAAAAATAATGGAAACACCCATGACCTAGCCTGGAGTCGAACCAGGGTTTGCCAGTGTGCGCGTATTCAATCACCACTTGTCCTGCGCATGACGGGGGCACGGTGCCACGCGCCACTGGGTCTTTTTTCTAAAAGGTCTGCCCCTACCTTGGACGTGATTTTCAAGCACGCATCCAAGAGCTAAGAAAAAAAAGACTGCTAAAGTCATGACCCATCGTGGAATCGAACCAGGGACTCCCACGTACACATCCCGTAATGACATACAGCTAACATGGCGCGGACGCGGTACCCTCCGCTACTGGGTCTTTGTTCTTGGGAGTAGTACCTCATAATGTGGGATGCGGGGCAGCATAGATGGCTCGTACTAGGCCCACGATTTGGTTTCCCACAAGTCTTATAATGCTTCGACAATCACTCTGATCTCTGGGACAGTGGCGCTACCTCTCCCTGTCTTTGGCCCAGGAGCCAGCTACAACTCTGACAATTGAATTAGAAGATAAGTACGTCGGGGTTAACTTCAGAACAGACGCGCAAAAAAGCCAAGGCACGAGCAGTCCGATGCTGCAGACATCGAAACATGGCGATCCAGGGCGGTTAGAACCACATGAACTCAAGGAGCTGTACATGGCAAGAGTGAACTGTCATCTCACACATGGGTGCGAGATTTCCTCTGGTTATCTCACCGCTGTTCACGGAAATGGTGATAACACAATTCAGACGAGAATTGAACTTTGAAGCGCTAGGCCGTGAATGACACCCGAACTGTGCAACTACGCATAGCAATTTCTTCTCCTCTGCACCCCTCTCCGTCCCACTTAAACTCCCCAAAACACACATTCTGCGACTTCACTTCAAGATAATGTTTGTGCGTTAGAGCTCCAAAACATCGGCCAGCATGACCGCAGACGTACAAAATGTTCAGGTGCAGCAGCCTCCGCATTCAACCTCCCCATTGCCGAGGGTAATGCAGCGACAACACGATTGGCGGTTGATATTAGCGGCCTGCGCGCTGAGAGCAAGGGCGGCGAGGAAGACGGCAAGTGTGTGGATAGACGGGAATTGCATCTTGTCTCAAAGGCTGAGTACTGGGGAGTGGGTTGAAAGAAAGTCGCAGTTTTTATACGCAAGGGATGGCAGATATCTATCAATCATGTGTGCCTTTCAGACACGACCCGTTGGCACCGGCGATATTGACTAACCGAGGTACAATGCCCTTGTCCCCGATGGGACCCCGGCGGTGATTCTGACGTCCCGCACGTATTCAATCTATTTTTAGGCAGAACGTGGTTGCTGGAGTGCGTCTCCATCCGTCTACCCAGGGTATCCCGTCTATCCACCTGTGCGAGATGCCGTCTGTCAACGGAATCCAGTCATCCCGCTCCAGGTTGCAGCATTGCTCATTATTAATATGACTCCAACATAGAAACGGTAGTAGAGAGCTCCGCTCATTATCCATTATCTCGGAGCTACGCACTACATCATTACTAAGATACATCTTCCGGGACGAACTAGGAGATGTCCAGGTCGCGGCGCGGGTTGTGGATCACTGTCAATAGATAGATCACCCGTCAGGTTGCTATTCATAAGCGGGACCGGCCGTGTAATTCTACCTACCTACCTACCTACCATGATGATGATGCTCACATTTTGCTCGCACGGTAGCCGAGCTCAAGGGATCAGGCGGCGGCCTGGTTTCTATTGTGTTTCTGTTTCCGCGGCGACGGCTCCGCTCAATGAGGCATGGAAGCCAGATAACAAAATGAAATTTGCATTGCGCTCTCACTGATTCCCACAGCTGTTCATGTGACGGACATTTCCTGCTGGACTACAAAGGACCACTACTGCTGTATGCACAGGATCAAAGTTACATAAAAGCTCCACACACACCGGAGATTGCCAAATTTAGGCAAAGCCAAGGTGCTACTCGAATGCCAAAGAGTCGAATTGGAAACAAATCGCACTGGGGGGGGTTGCATTATACTCATCAGGTCCACAACATGAACGATGAGTCTACAGAAAGCATACATGTAGTACTGTAACTGGAATCTAAGCTGATCAAAGTAGTTTCAGTCCGTGGATCAGCTTTGATTTCAGTGTGATTTATTCCAAAGTTGATACTTTGGCATTCAAGTAGCACCTCGGCTGTGCCTAAATTTGGCAAACTTGCCGGGGCACACATCTATGCTCGCCATTTCCCCCCTGTACAGATGTACCCAGGCAAGATTGCCAAATTTAGGCACGGCCGAGGTGCTACTTGAACGCCAAAGTATCAACTTCGGAATAAATCTGAAATCAAAACTGATCCACGGACTGAAACTATGTCGGAAAAACCCGCGGGAGCCGATAAGATTTGATAAGGCCTGATCAGGCCATAAGGTCGGCCGAGATGATCCTATCCTGATAAGATGAAAGAATTGTGTAAGGTCGGGTCGCGTTATCAGGTTGGGCGGGTTATAAGGCCAGATAAGGTGAGGGTTATTAGATGGCAAAATTGTATTCAACTTCTTTCTTATTGACTCGGCTCCCTTTCTAAGGACACTAACCGTTTTTCATTGGGTGTAATCATTTTAAACTTGTATCTAAGGAGGGTCGAACCAGCGACCTTAAGGTAACAGAAATTTTTCTGAACTAAAGTAACATAACCACTATACTACTGAGTGCTTTATATAAAGGTTTCTGAGCTCAATATGATCGATAGCCTGGGGTTTCCACCGCACTTGTAGTAAAATACAGGCCTCTCACTGCTCACTGTGCTCTTGCTCCTCAGTCTTCTTTATGAACTCTCTAAGCACAGCACATGCATATGCTCCTGCACATTAACATTCAATATCTGGATCTAACCGACTGATCTACAAAAAAATAGACAATGTAACGACAGCGCTCACGCTGTCTGTGGGCGCGCCCCTATTATCAAGTATTCTTCACCAGCCTCCGATATCGACCGCGAGCTAAGCGCGAGGCACTATAAGTCACCATATAATATGGTCGTCCAGAAACCTCACACACTGGTGATCCACACACGCGGGGAACCTTGATCACACCAACCTGCGCGGAGATGTGTGCGTACACGAGCCTCCGTCGCCTGCGATGCACGGAGAATACAGAGTGTTAATATTCAGCGGCGTCCAATCCACCTAGCGGAACCACGGGTGCTCAAAGATGTCTGCGGCACCGCACCACATATTACCGAAGCGTTTCGACGGGCCACCTCCATGAGCTTCATGATGACGTCCTGTGTTTGGTGGGAGAATGCCGCGGGAGGGAACACGAGCTTGGATGGGCCACCTGGATGTGGTTGTACAGAATGAGATGATTCTGCTCGGTCTGGCGGTATGGTAAGGGCCCGAAGTGTATTTATAGATGAGGATCCCCACTGTACACCAGTCCACAGATTTGTTGTAGGTTTCTGGCTGATGCGGCGCGCCGTCCTGTATGAACTTGGTGGAGATATTCACCGTCGGCAGGTATTTTAACTCGCCAACGTGCATGGCCTCGTCCCTTGCACGGCCGAACTGACGGTGAACGTCCCCTTTACGAAAGGGAGCGCCCCGGTCTCGTCCTCCACGAGAATCCATTCCTTCGAGCATGAACTCAATGAATGCCGACCCGGGCACCACGGCAACCCACAGACGCGGGCGCGTTCGCCACAAATGGCACCCAGAACTTGGTCCCTGCGAATGGGTACGCAGGTAGGCTCACGCAATGCATGGCCAGCTGTGCAAACATCGCGGGCCGTTGCAGCGCCGGTAACCATGCATCAACGGGCGAGGACAAAAGGAGTGCTTGAGCGCGACAGACTCGGCGGCGGGCGCAGTGGCGCGTGAAGTAGCTTGTGGAGAGGGTGGTGTTACCAGGGCGACGACGAGGCTGAGTGCGTTCTAGACGATGGCGATGACGCACAAAGCCATGGTGAGGTCCGCGAGGAGTGTACCGTGGCGGCGTTGAGGTACCTGAATGAGACAGCGAGGGGGGGGCACTCCTCGCATCCAAGTAGGCGTTAGGCGTCTTGAGCTCGTCGAGCGGGCCCTCGAGCACGCAGTCCGCTGATATGTTGCGCGCGATCGATCATCGCGTCCAGGACATTGCGGACAGCGTACAGGGCGGCCTCAGCAGCATTAGGCTCGAGATTCCCTGCGCGTGTGCTAGTCGCACCTTGCACACCATGAGCAGCATGCATCGCCACTAGTAGCGTGTTACTGAATGCGAGTATGCCCGC